GTTGAGTGAGTGTGTAAAGAGCAGATGAAGTCCTGATGTGTATTGTTTGACAGGGGCACGGCCATGTCAAAGACCAATTCCTCAGACCCGTGGGAGTGGCAGATTCCACCCCTAGGATGAGGCTCCAAGGGATGCAAAAGTTTTCCTCTGGTCCGAATGCAAATGCTGACAGTGTGTACAAGTAGACCAGTTGATTAACGTGGACAAGAAACAGCAACACAACTTCCTCCTCCTGGATGCTTATACCCCGAGATTGCTTGCCTATAGAGACTTCTTACTAAGACGAGCTACATTCCCTCCCTAGGCTGCACATAAACATGCTGAGGTTCCAGGTTGCCGTGTGGAGTTGGTGCCATTCCATCAGTGGGCAGAGCCCAGCTGACCCCAGCTTTTCTGTATGCGTGTTATGTTTGTCCTCTTACTGTTCTCTTGTTGCACCCGTAGTCAAGTTTCCAGGCCTAAGCCATGCTGGATGCGGAAGCTAGAGGCCTTGACTTATTGGGAATGATCACATTTAAAGTGACCAATTTATTTTTGCCACCGTCTTCAATATTACGTTATCTAAATAGCTTTAGAATTTCTTTCCTATTTAGTTTTCTAGTCAGTGGTGGATTTAGTGTTAGAGGTCATTAGACATAAAGGCCATAGTTACTCTGTATATCTTTGTGTGCTAGAGGAAAATACAGAATCCAGTCTTCCATGTAGCCAATTATGTGAATGACTATTATGCATCATGAGTTGTAGTGCATTCAAATGTGAGACTACGCTGTATTTGGCCACAGGCTGTTGAAAGTCATGTGAATGGAAACACTCTAACTCAGTTTTCTAGAAAAATAAATCTGCCATGACTAAGGGTATCTCAAGGCAGACAGAAAAGCAGCATTCCCCCCCCCCCCCATTTTTCACCAAGAAGACAGACAGTAGACCTAGTGTGCACACTGACAAACACTGTTTTCCTCCTGTAATTATTGAGTGTGAGTGTTCACTTGCAAGACGGGATCTTCTGGGAAGAGCAGCTCCAGCGTTAGTGGAGCTTCATGGCTTTTGTCTCCTCTTGCAGCAGTTTGAGTAAATGAGGCAGAGTCAGTGAGCTTGTCGGAGACGCTATGCATGGATGGAGCTAGATACAGGTTGAGCTTGCATCTATGGGGAGCTCCTAGGCTTGGCGATGACTGACGTCGGGAACTGAACGGGTGCTAAGTGACCTGTATCAACTGAGAGAGGGGTTGTGAACCGCAGACAGGATAGGTGGGTGTTTTCTATGGTTGGTCCTGATATTTACCAGCCATGCTAATTATGGCTTGTCTCTTTCTCTTCCTGAGCCTCCATTTTTTCTTAAAGAAAGTGCAGAGGGCCATATCTCCTCTACTTCCCTCAGTGAGTGACTGTGAGGATGAGACTGAGATGAGTGACTTTTGTGAAAGTACTCTACTTGTCTATAAAGTCCTATGTAAGGATGAACCACTGTTTCCATTAGTGGACAATGACCACTCCTCCACCGCTGTGACTAAGGGACAAAAATTGCCCTGGATACCCACTGTGTTCCTTGGAGTCTTCCTAAAAGCATAAATTGCAATGGAGATGATTCTTTTTCCTTGCATTGCTTTTTTGATTTGAACAATCCCAGCTCTATGTGGAGTCTTGAGTATGGTCCCAGGATCCGATGCCACCAGAGTACTCATTTCTCTTTGTCTGGGAACTCACTGACTCCTAGGTGTGAGCTCTGCTTAGGCTCCCACTTGCCTCAGTATTCAGAAGCCAGTCTCTTGTTTCACCATGAGTCCACAGAATCCAAAGACCAGTCAGGGAGAAAAATGGGTCTCCAAGGCAGCCGTGGTCACTCCTTCATTTCCTGGAGCTTTGTGGTAGAGACTGCATGTTTCTTCATGGCTGGGCACAAGTTGACATAATGGCTGAGGTATTTGAAGTATTCTGATCTCCCTTTCGCTTTCTTTTAGGATCTTATTCTGTCACCCCTCCCTCACTGCAGAGCCTGAACTGTCTCATTTTCCCAGAACTCCTCATTGGGATGACCAGCTTGTTCCAGTACAAACCTCTGTGATGATGGAAGTATTCTAGATGTTCCCTGTCCAATAAAATGATCACTAAGCACATGTAGCTACTGAACATTTGAAACGGATTATATATAACTGATGAGCTGAATCTTCAATTTTTAATTTCAATGGACTACATGTAAATCGGCATATGTGGCTAGTGGCATGGGATTTGATGGCCAGTGTACTCAGTTTCTCTACTATGACCATAATTAGTCTCCCCTAGGTTCCAATCCATAGCCTTCTCAGAGAAGCACAAGAAAGTCCATCTCATAAACCAAGTGCTAGGCAGAAATTAAGGTCCTAATCCTCATAGGCAACTGTGTAGCTCTTTTTCCTTTCTCTTGTCTTGTGGATCGAACCCAGTGCCTCACACAGACTAAGCAAGAGCTCTACCAGTCAGCTACATGTCTACATGCCAAGACTAGCACACAGGTTTTGAACAACACCATGCTTTAGTCAAAGTAGAAGCCCAAGTGGCTAGAATTGGGGAAGGTAGCAGAAAAGTGTGATATGTAAAAAGATGATGGGTAAAGACTTTTTCATGCACATCAAAGTATGCCTGATAGATGGCATATCCCCCCCCCCCAACCCCCAGTGCTCTGGGATGCTTCTAAGCTCCTTTGTCTCTCACAAATCTGGCAAGATTTAAGGTCACAAGTATATGGGTAGGAGCTAGGAAAGAATTGGAATGGGCAGATCCTGGAGGATGCCAGAGTTCTTGCAAAAGAATGTAAGGTGCCAAGTAGGTTGGTGCTTTGTTCCGCCTTGCTATGGAATGAATCACAACCATGGGGACATAACTGAAAAGCTGGAGATGAGAAAGCAGCTTACAGAGCTCACAATGGACCATGGTATTTTTGTTAGGCTGTTGAACAAGAGTTGAAGTCCAGCTCTTAATCTGAGTCCCAGCCTTTCAGGGGAGTATTCATGAACGTTGGTTCCTGGATGTTCTTTTCATATTGAAACTGGACTGTGTTGTTGTGTGTCTTGGCTTGTCTTAAAACGGCCTTCAAGTTCCTGCCTGTGTTTTCACTGGTACACACTGGCATCAGAATAATTTTTGCATGTCAATTCCAGGTTGGGTAAAGGGTGGAGGACATGGGGCTAGGATTGATGCTACAGAAGGTCAACTGATAGGATAAAAGGGTCCTGGGGGGCACTTGGAGATGAGCAAGCAGAGATCATACCAATGTTTGTGTTTTGGGATTTGCTCTTAGGGCCCCACTCTCCTGTTCTAACCGTAGACACATCTGCTACCAACACTTCACCTGTTCTGCACTGCTTGGAGTGGAAAAAATGAATTTTAATTAAGCCACTGTTTAGACTCTATGTTTTCCTGCTTAAAAAATTCATAAAGTCAGTAAGAGACAATTTTTTTTACACAATAAGTAAGTATATATAAAGTTAAAAAAAGGAATTAACAGAGAATTCTCTGTGTGTTTGCAATACAGTTCAGACTCCAGTTTTCTGTACTTGTCTTCCTGGGGAAAGATTAATACAGTGTTTAGTATAACCTTGTTGTCTCCCAATTTGTCTACCTTTTGAGTAGTACAGACCATGTGAAATCAAGGGACAGAGCTCAGAATGGAGGAAGGTATGCATAGAACTTTAGCTGGATTGATTCATCAGTCCTTATGCTCATGGACCATCCAGGGAAGGACATTCATGTCACAGGGATCTCTTGTACCCAAAGTGTCTGGATGACTTATGGTATCCTTTCTGTAGACATTTCCTAATGTCCACTCTGCACACTATGAATTTCAGTCCATTTAAATGAAAAGACAGAAGGTCCTGCCAGGGCTGAGGTAACTTAGAGAAGTTGTTTTTGATAAAAGGATTTTGTTCCACGTAGGAGACATCTGGCAATGTCTGAACACATTACAGTCACTACCCAGGGTGGGTGATTTTGTCCTTCCCAGGACCTTAAGCAATGTTTTGACACTGTCAAAGCAATGAAGCTGGGGAGGGAGTGGGTTTATACTCTGATGTTGCTAAGTTTACTACCATACAGAGAGCTGTCTCCGTGACAAACAATATATTCTTTGATCAGAAGGTCTTGACAATGTTTGAGAAACCTTGGTCCAAGAGACAGGCAAGACTTCACTGGAGTGAGGGGTGGCTCACAAAGGGATACCTCCATGTCACTGTTGGAAGAGTTGTAAACCCCCGAGAGGTGGCTCAAAGAAATTTCAGAAACTTTTCACTTAGAACTTTCTTCAGGCATTAACTTAGTCAATTTCCTATCCTAATGATGTTTTTCACTTTCCCTGGAAGGGAAGGAAAGAAAGGCCTCAGAGTTACACAAGCAGCCCTCTATTTCCTTAAGTAGTCTAGATCTTTGACTGTAGCATATGCAGAGGCAATCTGTGTAGATGATTTCTCCATGGCCTATTTGCTGACAGGTCCTGGTTCCCAGGACTTCCTTGCTGTTAGTAGATGGAGAAGATTCAGAGATTGCCGTGTATGAGTATTGTCACATAGGCTGGGATGGAGCAGGTCCAAGGCGTGACAATATGAAGGAGGCCAAGACAAGGCTCAGAAAGTGGTGGCAGAATTTGTACTGAACTGGTTGGAAAAATAAAAGCAGAGGCAGTATTTCTCTTTCTGATTATAGAAGTAACACAGACATTGTCAAAAAAATCTCCCAAGTACAGAAAACTGTAAAGAGGAAATAAAAATCTCCTAATTGCACTATTAGGGGATATCAACCATGAAAAGCGTTTGAGAAAAACAAGGAAAAGAGATGAACATCAGGTTCTCTGAGACAATGAGCTAGGGAGATTGGAGATGTTTTTTGAGGACAGCAGAGTGCCCTGTATGAGTGAACATCAATGGGTTGAGATGATGTTCTTTGAGAATCAAGGTAGCTGGGTCCCGGTCCTTGCCAGGATGAGATGGACAATGGAAGGCAATCAGCTGGGCACTAGATCAAGCCCTTCTTACCTTCAGGGCTCACGTGCAAAGCATCTGTGGTGCTCACCTTCACAGACAGACGTGTCCGTTAGCTGAAAGAGAAGATGACTCATGTTAGTTCAAGTGCGACGAAGCAGGATATTTGTCATTTCCAGCTTCCTGTGCCACATAGCAAGGCTAAACACCCTCACTTATAATAGCTCTCATTTTCTGGACTTAGTTTTTTGGCAACTTCATTATGAAGTAATACCAATCTTAGACAAAAGTTGCAAAAATAAATTTCATCTATTGCACCCAGATATCCTAATTATTAATATGTTATTCATCATCCTGTGTCTTTTATGCATAAAAATTACTTTTTCCCCCAAGTCCAAGACTGGAGAGCAAGTCATAGTCATGATGCCTCCTTTGTCCTAGTTATATTGAGTTATTGAGAATAGGACATTCTTTTTTTTATAAACAATGTGATTAAGTCAGAAGATAACCATTGATTCAGTATTGCTATCTAATCTACAGCTCATAGTCCATCTAGCCCAATGGGGTTAAATTATAAGGAGTTTGATACTGGAAGTCCTAGATGGTATTTACTGATGAATCCCGACACGGCCTTGGTCAAGTTAGATTTGTCCACTTTTACTTGAAGCTTAGATTGGATTCTCCCTTGGTGAGTCAAAAACGCTTTGGCAGGAGAAGGCTGCCAAATGGTAAGAAATGGGTTGTTCACTGAAATGCAGGGTGAAGCCTTGCGTCTCTTATGATACACCCTCTAGGAGTCACGGCCCCAACCTTATCCAGCTAGTCTTCCTGACTCTAGGCTTCTGTACGAAATCCCAGACTTTTGCTTCTGATTGGCCAGGGTTTAAGGGACACACGGTTGATAACTGCTGGAAATGCAGTTCTCAGGAAGAAACTCGTTCAACATTTCAATACAAAACAGGTCTGTATATGCCAGAAGGTACTTTTTCAACCTGGCTTTTAGGGCTGGGAAGATTGCTCAGTAGGAAAAGTACCTGCCATGTGATTATAAGACTGGATTTCAAACCTGCAGCACTCACATAGATGCTGGGGAGGCATGGTGGTCTATCTATGATCCCAGCAAACATGGAAGGTGGAGACTGGATCCCTGTAGCAAGCCAGCTGCCTAGATCAGCCAAATCTAGCTAGATTAGGTTGATTCACTTGAATTCTGGGTTCAAGTGAATGACCCTGCCTTAATATATAAGGTGTAGAGAGCGGCAGGAAGTCACTAGACATCAACTTCTGGTCTCCACATGAGTATGTACCTGCATATATACAAACACACACACACACACACACACACACACACACACACACACACACACACACACACGGATCACATACACATGTAAAAAAATAACCAACCCCTCTCCCCCAAACTGATTTTTATTTATGGACATAAATTCAAAATTATTGTCCAGTTTAGTCTCACAATCCCATGTGAAAGCCAACTGGCTAGTGGAAACAGCCAAAAAAAGGCTTTCCAATAATTTCTAAGCATTCAAATGCTAGAATTCTAGGAATCATCCCTTGAAGAAGCTAGCTAGTGCTGAACGTTCTTCATGTCTCTTCAACTAACAGAGGAGGAAGTGACCGGCTGGAGACCCATGGTGGCCACCAGTGTCTTCATAACTCTGAAACCCTCACAACACAGTCAATACTTTGTCAACACTGCTGCTTTGATTAGGCAGCTGATTTGTGTTTGCAATCAAAGCCGGTGATATGATGAAAGCTATTTGAGCAAAAGACGTTCATCCACAAGGTAATGTGGAGTCTGGTGAACCCACAGCTTGTGACACAGATGTCAGAGGGCAGGTTTCCTAGAAGTAAGTCACCAAATTTTCTCCATAAGGTACAGCAACACCACATTTTCATTTTAAAAACTCTTAAATATTCTAGAGTGCATTTTATGTTCTGGGAACTATTTTAGCTCTCTTCACTAATGTCCTAGCTCTGCTCAGAACAGCCCCAGCTCCTCTCTGTTCCCACTCAAATTAAATCTATACTCTGTGTATACTCTTGTTGGAAACCCCGAGGGGTTAGCTGAGGCTGGAGAAGGGCACAGAGGCAGCAGGACATAGGTCAGAGGCTGCATTCAGATGGACAGATTGAAATACAATATAGTAGTAATGAGGGCTTTAGAGCACAGGGGCATCAAGGGAAGTGTAGTTTCAGCAGCGCCCAAAAGTGTTTATTGAATGGTGGGTCTTGGGCTTTTATTGTTTGCTCTTCTATTATTCATTAGCGTGCATCAAATGTCTGGCATGTCACTTAACTCTGGCCAGTCTCTGTCCTTGCTCCCACATTTATTCTAATCCTGTTCTGGGCTTGATGGTTCTGCCTGCTGGGCTCCCATGCCTTCATCTTCAGGGAGAGTTCAACTGCATCAGGCAGAGGATGGGAAATGGGCATGTCAGTATACTCTTTCCTTACACATCTACCTTTCCATGTTCCATTACAACATGACTCAGTTGTAATGGTGATATGTCTCTCTAGGCACATTATTCAGTTGAGTAGCCTTTCCTCTATAACCCTATCACTGAGCTCCACAAAATCACTCTTGCTCATTTCTTTGTGTGTAGAAGAGTGATGAGTTTTCCTTATTCTCTCAGCTTTACCCACAAGAACACTACATAGTCTCATTGCCCTCTCTTAAAAGCCTGGCTTATCTGTTACTGTATGACCCTGATGGGAATAAAATTCAGAAAGTTCCCTTCAATTTCTATTTCATGGAATAATTTGAGGAGTATTGGTGTTGGTTCTTCATTGAAGGCCTGGTAGAATTCTGCACTGAGTCCATCTGGCCTTGGACTTTTTTTCAGTTGGGAGATTTTTTAATTACTGTTTCTCTTGCATTAGGGATATGTATATAGGGAGGATTAGTGTCTAGAATATATGAAGAACTAAAAATTTCAACATCAATAAAACAAATAACCCAATAAAAACATGGGATACAGAAATAAAAAGAGAGGCCTCAAAAGATGAAATGCAAAGGACTGAGAAACTACTTTGAAACTTCATCTTATGCCAGTCAAGATGGCCAAGATAAATAAAACAAATGGCATCAGATGCTGTATGGAGATAGGAAAATACTTATTCATTGCTGGTAGGAATGGAAACTTGTACAGCCACTATGGGAATCAGTATGGAGGCTCCTCAAAAAGAGGAAAACTGATCTACCTCAAGACCCAGCTATGCAACTCTTGGGCATAAACACAAAAGATTCTACATTTTACTATAGAGATGCTTGCTCATCCATGTTCATTGCTGCTCTATTCATAATAGCCAGAAATTGGAAATAGCCTAGAAGTCCACCAACTGGTGGATAGACAATATAAATGTAGTACATTTATACAATGAAATATTATTCAGCTGTTAAGAAAAATGAAATTATGAAATTTGCAGGTAAACGGATGGACTAGAAACAATGATCCTGAGTGAGGTAACTGAGACTCAGAAAGAAAAATATTGCATGTTTTCTCTTGTATGTGGCTGCGTTTCAGTCAGAATAAACACCAAAGTTAAAAAGCTGGCAAGGGGCTAGGGTGGAGGATGAGGTAATCTTCCAAGTACCAAGGATAGGGGAAAATGCGTTGTTATACAGTGATGAAGGAGAAATTAGAATAAGAGGATTAAATGGGGAGGGAGATAGGTGGGCAGGGTAGAGGAAGGAATATGGGAAGAGATAATTAGCACTAAAAGTCTTTTGAAAAGCCACACAAAACCTACTGCTGTGGAAGCTCCCTAAAATATATACATATATAAATGGAATTTAAATGGAGTTACCATATAATGGGGGAGACAATGTCCCAAAGGGATATCATATGCTACCAAATAAAATCTATAACCAGGAATCGGTTATATCTTTTTGAGTCATTGGCCAAAGCAGCCCCACAGACCACTCCCAAACATGATAAGCTGTTGTCAATGATATTGGTTACCATCCCCAACCTGATTGCAATACACTATTACTAAAGACACCATATACTTTTAGCATCGAACATGGAGAAATCAAGCTGGTGCTCAACTAGAACTTTCACCTCTCTTGACTGACTTTCGAAGGGCTGGAAGGTATTATAGATGCTACCAGAGGAGAAAAGTAACTATCAGTATCACCCAGCTCTGATCCCTGAGAGCTGTAATAACAATCTGTCTGCAAGGTATATCCACTGGTACAACAGTAGCATGAATGTTACTGGAGTAACAAATCACCTTTTCATAAGATGTAAGGCCTGCTCTATGAGATAGAACCCATGCCTGGCACTGTTAATGAGGTCAAGAACCTGAGACTAGATTGGTCATAGGCCTAGGGGGAAGCCTAAATGAACATAGTAATAAAATTATTCCCAGTGGCATATTATTATATCTATAGATCAGTGCACCATAGAACCCTCATCAGAGAACTCCTTTCATTAGATGATAATTAACTTGGAGACTCACAACTGGACAGTGTGTATAAAGTGAGAGACTTCAAAGCACTCAGCCCTAAATGGAATGTCTATATAACACCACCCCTCTCAAAGATCAGGGGTTGATGTGCAAGAGGAGGCAGAATTTAAATGCCATAGGTGGTGGATGAGTCCAAGGAAACAGCATTTTCCAGATGTAACAAGATTGATGCACATGTGAATTCACAGAGATCGTGAGAATATGCACAAGACCTGAACACATGCAAACAGGACAAAATCAAAGTATGGAGAAAGAAAAATGGTCACAAAGTCCCACTCCCAACAAAAAGATATTTGCGATTGATAGTTATTGGGAAAGGGAAAATCACTTCTTTTCATGCAGTGACACTGAGCATATCCACCACACTCTAGGGCATGCCTCATGCTCAGGAATAGTTGGACAACACTAAATGGGCTCCATGTTCTCTTTATTATTTTGTTGTGTGTGCTTTTTTTATTAAAGCAAGAGAAAGAAGATGAAGCAGAGTAGATAGAAAAGGGGAGTACAGGGAGGAGTTGGGGAAATAATATGACAAAAGTACATTGAATAAATTTAAAAAATCCAACCATCTGTTATCTCCAGGAAACAATGAATGCAGCACACACACTCTCTTCCTGTCTCCATT